AGGGAGGAGACGAGCCCCAACGGGAGCAAGGCTGCAGCTTCCAGGCACATCCCACCGGGACCAGCAGCCTCTCGCGCTTCTCGGTGCAGAGCCTGAGGCCTCGGGCGCCTTCCCATCCCCCACCACCCTCTACTTCCTCCGACAGCCCTTGGCCGCGTCGCCCATCAGGTCCCAGTACTCTCCGAACTCCAGCTTGGCCTCGTCAGGGTCTCCCATGCATTCGATCTTAGGCTGCAGCTTCCAGGCACATCCCACCGGGACCAGCAGCCTCTCGCGCTTCTCGGTGCAGAGCCTGAGGCCTCGGGCGCCTTCCCATCCCCCACCACCCTCTACTTCCTCCGACAGCCCTTGGCCGCGTCGCCCATCAGGTCCCAGTACTCTCCGAACTCCAGCTTGGCCTCGTCAGGGTCTCCCATGCATTCGATCTTCTCTTCCAGTGGTCCAACACACTGCAGTGGGGATGGAAAAAAGCATCAGGGTGACGAGGCTGCGGGGTCCCACAGGCAGCTCGTGCCCACCCCAGCTCCTCGTGCCCACCCCCGGGCTCTGCCCTCACCTTCCCCAGGTGGGGCAGCTTCTGCACCACCAGCTCCTGCATCTCGTTGGGCGTCAGGTACTCCTTCTGCCCCTTCACCGCGTAGCAGTGGAACTGGTTGATGACGGTCTCAATGGCCCGCTCCACGTCGGTGAGCTCCTGGCAGTCCTGCGTGGGGGGGAGAGAGGGTGAGCACCGGTGGGACACCTCCCCGGGGGGATGGGACGTCCCTGGATGGACAGGACAAGCCCCTGAGTCAATGGGACAACCCCGAGCAGATGTGCCAGTGCTCCCTGCAGCTGCTCAACCGCTCCGCCATGATGTGATAAACCTCCTTATCAACGTGATACCCCTCCGTACAGACGCAAGACCCCACTCTACAGACAAGAGACCCCCACTCTACAGATCCGAGACCCCACACAGATGTGCGACTACTCCATACAGATGTGCCACCACTCCCTACAGACGCAACCCCCCACCGTACAGATGTGAGAACCCCCCGTACAGATGTTGCAGCCCTCCATACAGGCTCTGCCCGGCTGCAACACCCCCCTACAGCTGCCATACCCCCCCTCCTCGACACGACAGCC